CATCTGACTTTATTAATCATTGGAATAATATGATTAAAATAGCAAAAGATACTTTATTAGAATCACAGGATAGACAATTTAAATATGCAAATCAACATCGTCACTATTTAAAATTTAATATTGGGAACAAAGTTCTACTCTCAACCAGGAACATTAACAACTCTGTAGACAAAAATCAACCAACTAGGAAGCTATCACCTAAATTTTTTAGGCCTAACATTTTCTAATACCTCTATTATTTTTTCAGCATTAAAATTTGCTGTATGTGAAAACTTTGAAAAATCTCATAATGAATGGATATACTGTTTTCTTTCATTTGTTATTATAACAAAGGCATATATACTTTGTTTTAATGGACTGCACCAACTATCTATACATAAAGTTAAATTTTTAGTCTTAGATAGTTTATTTTCTACTTTATTATAATATTTGCTGCTTCTGCATCTAAAATTGATGATGCTAATATAGTACATTTAGGTAAATTATAACCAGGGTTTAATAGCTTGGTATAATCTTCAAAAAAAGAATTGTCAAAGGCTGAAAATGAAATACCCGAACATATAATCTATTTAATTAATGTTTAGTTAGCTCTTGTTTCTTTAGCCTTATCAATAGCTTCTTTTGTATCATAATAGGCATTCAAAGACAACTGAGAGTAGTCTGATTTTCTTTTTTTAGGAGTAGCTGATTTAGAAAATTTACTTTGAAGGTCTCGAAGTACTCTAATTCGAACCTCTCTAGGTACTCTTCCTCTACATTTCATTGCAAGGTAAGATTTTATTTCTTGAGCTTTTTCTCGAACTCATGTACAAGAACAATACCTACAACTTGCACCCTTATGCTTTTCTAATCTATTATTTATAACATTAAACTCATCCTATATATTTGATAGAGGCTGTCCAGTATTATTTGATGATTCAGTTTGTATAGATGATTCACTTTTATTAATTAAAAAAGAGTCATTTGAGGTTTCATCGCTATTCATAATTTTATTATTTGTAATATATTCCATTTTAGCAAGTGTTAAAAGAAAAAAAAATAGGAAAAAATATAAAAAAAATATAAATATATAAAAAAATATATATTTGAAAAAAAAGCTGAAATGATTCTTTAAGATGGTGCTTATAGCCAAAAACAAATAACTCTTGGTAAGTTAATTGGGTTGAAAAAAAAAAGTTTTTACGATAGTTTATATCTAGATAATATTATATACAGTATACCTATTATATATAGTACTACAGTTCAATTATATCTATACTTGCTAGCAAAATAGCAAAACCTGAACAAATTTAAAAAAACAATTGCTATTT